CCCCCCCCCCCCCCCAAGGGTATCAGTCATATTGGATTAGCATCCACCCTTAAAACTTAATTTAATCTAATTACCTCTTTAAAGACCCTGTCACCAAATACAGTCCCATTAGCAGTTAGGGCTTCAATATATAAATTCTGGAGGGGACACAATTCAATCCAAACTTTCCTCTTCCAGGAAGTCTTCCCAAACCCTTCTAGCTTCCTGCTCTCCTCTTCCTCAATACAGTTCGTTTTGATATGAGGGCCTCAGTACTGACCAGCATCAGGTATTCAGTAAGTATTTTCTGACTGACTGACTCATTTGAGGGTTTGTTTGATCAATCACCTGGATGCACTCATGAACAACAATTGCACAGCTATAAATTACCTGCTTACAGAAATGCCATCCTTCCATCAAGTTGTTCTTAATGCCACCTCAATGGATAATTTCTTTTCTCTAAAAGCTCTTTGAGTTTCCTGAAGTGCTAACAACCATGTTTTGGGAACAGCCTGAGGAAAGCTCTGTCTCAAAATGAACCTCTCTCTCCTCCAGTCTTTCTCACCATTTATTGTGAACATGGCAGAGGACACATGTTATTCATCACGGCATCATGATTACAGCGTGGATCAAAATAACATCACTATTCTTTTTTAGCAAGATATTGACTGTTTGCATTAATTCTAATTCTTATATTTTCTTTTTCCTGCAGCTTCAGTTTACATCTGGTATTTTACTTTATTGATCTCATCCATGTCCCAAGGAGAAACCCATTATGTAAATTCAACAGAAAATCTATTGACAGCATGTTTAACTGCCGTTAGTAAAAAATGTTTGCATTATTGATAGTAATAGGAACGGGATTATATTAATATTGTTTAAATGGAAGGAAGGCTTCCTTAGACTGTATACAGATTGATTCATTCAACAAACATCTTCTGAGAGTCTACCAAGTGCTGGGAACTCTTCTGACTTGGGGGGCAAGATGAAGAAGACTGATCATGTTTCCGCTCTAGTGGGGCTTATCTTCTAGTGGAAAGAGAAAGTGACAAATAAAATGACAGAAAATGAACAATTAGATAAAAAATAAACTTAGAACATAAATACACTGTTCTCAGATTTAATAAAACAGGGTAAACAGATAACCAGGGTAGGTAGGGTTCTAGGTGGTATGGAGGCCTCTCTGAGGAGATGACATCTGGATGATGACCTGGATGATTAGAAGGGATCTATGGCAGACAGACTGATGGCCCCAAAGATGACCACACTCTAATCTCTGGAACTTGTGAACATGTTGCCTCACACAGCAAAAGGGACTTCGCAGATGTGATAAAGTTAGGGACCCTGAGATGGGGAGAGTATACTGGATTATCCAGGTGGACCCAATGTAGTCACCAGAGTCTTATAAGGATCAGAGTCAGAGGAGGAGATATGATGATGGAAGTAGAGATTAAAATGAGGTTAGGAAGAGGCCATATGCCAAGGAATGTTGGCAGCCTCTAGAAACTGGAAAAAACAAGGAACAATTTCCCCCTAAAGCCCCCAAAAGGAGCACAGCCCTGAGAACACCTTCATTTTAGCCTTTTAAGACCTAATTCAGGCTTCTGATCTCTAGAACTGTAAGAAAATTCATTTTAGTTGTTTTATGACATTAAGTTTGTGGTATAACGTGTTACAGCAGCAATGGGAAACTAATATAGCATCACTGGCAATGTCCCTGAACATTTAGAAAAGCAACTCCAATAACGAGTTGATTGCATCAGTGTTCAATGTCATTTTCCTCCGTGGCTGGGTTAAAACCAAGGCACCTGCACCAATAGAACTGACACTCATGAAGGCAAAAGGATCAAACTCCAAACACAGGACTTCCCAGCCAAAACAAATTTGCAGTAGTAATCACGAAAATACATGTTAGCTTGGTTTCCTTGCATTCTGGATGGTCATCTACCATTCAGGCACCTGCCATCCCCATATGTCTGACTTAACAAGTAGGCTGAAGAGAAGAAACATATTTACTTCTTTAGGTTATCTTGGAGAAATTATAAATTAAGTAGAATTACACTGAACTCACGCAATTAACAGTCCAGCTTACTATTCAACACCTTAATCTTAGACCTTACCCTCTTAGCTCAAAAGAAAAGAAAATGTTTAAGAAGAGAGAACTAGTCTAATCAGGATTTTCCTCTTTATTTTGGTGGGGGAGTGCCTAACATATATTGACCCCTCAAATTCTAATATTTATTAACTTAACTAGAAGATTAAAAGGTAGTAATGGCTCTTAGAGACATTTGAAAATTATTATTTTGCAGAAATGCATTTTTTCAAATTACTATATAAAAATGACTTGTGATTTTAAAATCTATTAACCAAATGCTTTGTTACCCTAGAATAACCTAGAGCTCATATAATACACATCCTTATTTTACAAATAAGGAAACTGAGGCATGTGGGTAAATGTCATTTCCAAATCACCCTGTTTGGTAGTAGGGCAGCATTTCATCTCCTGGCAGGCCTTTTCCATCATGCTTCATCTTTGCTTTCATTCTGCAGTTTGGAGGTGCTTGCAGGTTTTACTGGGTTCTAAAGAGCACTTCTAGAGCATATAGAAGAAAATCAAACCACGAAAAACAATCTTTGTAACTCTGACTTCATCAGACAAGTCAATAACATTACCACATCTGACACAAAGCATAACCTTAGAAATTAAGCATTATACTTTATAATATACATGGAAATCCATTTTTTAAGAAAAACAATTACACAGGTATGGTAAAGTGT